AAACAACGTCAGAAGTGGGCCCCAAAAAGGACCCATAATGACATTCCTCTAGACGGTAGACACCTTGCAGAATCCTCCAGGGGATCCCATCGCCCTCCATCCCCTCCAAAAGAAGAAACTAACTTTGACTGCAGTTCGCTGGTTGAAGAAGTCCCCGTGCCTAACCAAGAACTGGAAATCCAGTGGCGACGTCGCTCGAAGATCCGAGTACTAGAAGGGGAAGGAAATATGCAAGGGGGAGACATCATTGAAGAAGAGGAATTCCTTGAAGATGATGAAAATTTAAAAGAATACCTTGAAGGGGACGAAAATATTGAAGAAAATATTGATGAATTTCTTGAATAAAACCTAGAAGGAGGATTAGAAGAAATAAATAACGCCTTGGATATGGAAGTTGTCTATATGGTGAGGCACACCAATGCTAATGAGGAAGCCTATTATGATGATGATGAAGATGATGGCGATCAACAACCGCCAATTAGGTGAGTTTATCAACGTCGTCGTGAAGGTGGGTCCACCACTGGCAGAGCTGGTCGTTCCCAAGCAGAAGAAGAAAGGGAAGAAGCCGAGGAGAATCCCTTCGCTGACGAGAATGTCACACTCGCCGATATGAGAAGGCAGATGAGGAGACAAATGAGAGCCAAAGATAGAGAAATCTCTCAGTTTAATGAGAAGATGACTGAGATGATGGCTCAGATGGGGGCAATGATGCAGATGATGCAGAAAACTGTCGCTGTTGGTGCCATGCCCAATCCTCCTGCAGATCCTCCAAACTTCCAAATGCCTCAAGTCTTGGGAGTACGAGGTACTCCTGAAGGTGGCCACGAGGCTCATAATGTCATCCGTCAGTCCACCCCACAAAATGTTGCAAGTACTTCGGAACCGGTGACCGCTGCACAGTTGGAAGGAATAATTACAGAAAGGATCAAGGCTATCATAGGTGTGGATCAGGCAGAGAAACTGGTGGGCAAAGGTCGTCCGTATCCTGCTGAATACGACCAAGTACCGTACCCAAAAGGATATTCTGTACCAAAGTTCAACACTTTCAACTGTAATAATAACCCTAGGTAGCACCTTGCATAGTTTAAAGCCACCTGCGGGAACACAGGAGGCAATGACGCCCTACTCTTCCGACAATTCATTAGTAGTTTGACATCAATTGCTTTCGAATGGTATGCTGAATTGCCAAACGACTATGTAAAAACCTTTGCAAAGTTAGAATCTATGTTCGTGAAGAGGTTTGCTAGTGCAACAAAGAAGATTATGATCGCTGACCTCGCTCTGGATAAGAGAAAAAGAGAAGAGTCAGTGACCAAATATATCACTCGCTAGCGCAACCTGAGTATGAAATGTGAGCAGCAACTTGAAGAAGAGCATGCCGTACAGTTGTTAATGGGCAAAATTGATGACAAGATGCAACCCTTCATGTGCAAGGCTACAATCAACACATTTCAAGACTTGCTCGACAGAGTGGCCAAATTTGAGAAACTAAATTTGTCCAAATCAGAAAATCACTCTGATAAGCATAAGAAGGCTAAGGCTCCGGGTGCTAGAAGGGGTGATGCCGACTCTACGTTCTTCTCTATAGCTGATAGAGAAAAACAAGTGATTTATAATGTAAACAAAGACAAACAGCTGATGCAATATCAAGAAAAGCCCAAACAGGCCTACAACCCTCACCCTCAACCGAAGCTGATACTCGGGGACAATGATAAGCCACGAACTTATCAAGGTGGAGGAGAATGCCAGAGACAGACATTGGGAACTTATGATAGAATGTTTCAATCCCTCAAAGATAAAATAAATAAAGAATATTCATTCAAGAGTAAGAGTGTCGCCAAATTATTTTGATAAGTATTGAAATCGGGTTTAGAACTGCCTGAATGCAAGAGACCCAAAGAGTCGAAGCACACCGGTGACCCAAATTATTGCCCATATCATCGAGTACTAAACCATCCTATTGAAGATTGCTACATCTTTAAGGATTGGATTGAAAGAAAATATCAAAAAGGGGAACTCACATTGTCCGATAATGTGTTGTCTCACCCTACAAAGGAATCAACTCGGGTGGTCACATCCTCTTCCATACCCCTGGTTGAAGAAAGAAGAAATAAAAAGAAGCCAATTCAAGAAGAACAGTGGAAGACTGTGGTCTCTAAGAAGACTGTGAAAATGTTGAAGCAGCTTGAAGGAGTTTCAGGTGTAAAGTTGAAGTCTCCTATGGAGCCAATGATAGATTTGAAGGCACTGCCGGTGGTACGACCTTCTACTTCAAAATAGTTTTCCAACCAAGTTGGTTCTTCAAAGACTGAAAAGAAGAAATCATCCAAGAAGAAGACCAAGCTGAAGAAGCCTAAGGAGAAAATGACTGCAAATCAGAGAGTTATCAACAGTTTGGATGAGTACTACCATACTGTGAGGCGACCTTTCAAGCTCGTTGATTTCATGACAGAGCTTAAAATCGATGAAGCTGAAGAAGGAGATGAAGATTCTCTTTCCAAAGAAGTATGTCGGGTCATCTCAGTGGCGTCGAGTACCTCGATAAAAGAGGAATACACAGAAGAAGTACTCTTTGAATCCTGTATGATGGTTTTGCTAATGGATTACAGTTCGGAGGAGGATTTATATTTTCTAGAGGGAGATGAATCAGACCCTAGCATAGCGTCTCGGATGGGACATGTAAACCTGGGTGGTGATTCTGAATCAACAGATGAGTCCCTAGACGCAACGATGGCTGACTCTGAAGAAAATGTACAGTTAAATGACTCTGAACCGGAGGAGATTGCTCAAGTGCAGTTAAGAAGCGGCAAGATACTACCGCCTCCATCGAAGAAAGGGGTTTCCAACAAAGACAAGGAAAAAGAGATAGTTATCAACGATGATATTATCCCTGAAGATCCTAAGAAAAATAACACTTCATCCAAGGGGATAGATTATAATATCTTATCTCATTTGAGAAAAATCCCAGCACAGCTCAGCATATACGATGCTTTGGTGATGTCTAAAGACCTTCAGGAGACTCTGATTCAGGCTCACAGAGATCCCGAAAGATACGAGGCGTATTTTGCTGAACGTAGTTTGACTGAGGTTCTGCAAGCTCGAAATGAGCCATTCATTACTTTCTCCGAAGAGGACATGATGCTCGGAACTGCAGACCATAATCGTCCTCTGTATGTTACTGCAGAGAGCGATAGCTGATTATCAGTCGAATCCTAATCGATCCTGGATCCTCCGTGAATCTGATAAGCTTGAAAGCACTGAGATCCCTCTGCCTTGATGTTGAACACCTTGGGTCAGATAAGTTAATGGTGCATGATTTCAACGAAAAAGGGCAGAAAACCCTTGGATCATTCATGCTCCCTCTTGTATTTGGAGAGCTCTATACAGAAGCTAAATTCCATGTGATTGACACGGATACTTCATTCAAGGTGCTACTAGGTCGTCCCTGGTTACATGAATATGGCATTGTCCCATCAACATTACACCAGTGTATGAAATATCTCAAAGATGGAGAAGAATTCAAGATCTCTGGTGATATTCAGCCGTTCATGAAGCAACAATTTATGAAGATGTACGGTATTTCATGCCAAAGAAGCAAAAGTCTTCGAGCTATTTCGAAGCTAGAGCATCAAACTCAAAGGCTGCAAAATGACCTGAACGAGAAGGTGAGAAGAAGCAGGTGGAAAGAAAGAAGGCAATGCCGACTCTTCCCAAGGCACCTACCATTCCCAAAGAGAAGAAGCATGTACGTCATCTTGGGAGTGACACAGATGAAGATGATGTTACTCCTGCTAAATCTTGAAGAGTATGCTAGTCCACAGATGAATGGAGTAGGCATGTTGAATTTTCAAATGATGATTATGACTACGACTCTATTTATATGAACACGGTGCAAAATGTATTCTCTAGAAGAATAGACAGTCTATCAATTTCAGATAGTGTACTCGTGGTCACGCGTGTTACCTTACAACACTTCTAGGAAATCATTCCGCGCGAGGTGCATAAAGTTGAAGAACTCGTCACTCTCTATCTGCCTCCCCTTAAAAATGGGACTGTGCCAAAGAATGTGTTATATTCCACGGGAGTTCGCGAAGAGGAGAACCATAACTGGAATTACATGATCCTTGATTCCGAAGAATTATTTCCTACGATGCAACCCAGGTTCAATACCAAAAATATTTAGAGAATGCTACGAAAATAAGTCAATATTCCTACCACCAAGCGACAACTTTGTATAAGTCTGGGCCTCTGGTATGGGAGGAGTCCGCGTCCGTTACAGTAGAAGGATACAGAAGCATATGAAGGTATCGGATTTATCAAAAGAAAATTCCTCCGAAAAGAGACTTGCTGGGAAATCACATGCATAAAAATTAAATCCGATGATGATGGTGCTTGAGAGACATACAAAGCTGATGATTATGATGAGCAGCCCGTAGAAGTCGAGCCTGCACCAGAAGAGCTTGAAGATGGTGGGCAGGCAGCCACTATGGATGAGCTAAAAGAAGTCAACTTGGGAACTGAGAAAGACCCTCGCCCAACCTTTTTTAGTTCTCTCCTACCCGAGGATCAAATAGAAGAAATAAAAGAATTTCTTTATGAATTCAGGGACTGCATTGCCTGGACATATGTTGAGATGCCTGGGTTATCCCCTGATGTAGCGGTTCACAGATTAATTAGCAATCAAACCGGATGTAGCAGCCATCAAGCAAACTCCAAGGAGAATGAGATTGGAGATTGAAGAAAATAAGTGATTGCTGAAACAAAGAAATTAATAGAGGCAAGTTTCATCCGAGAAGAAAATATGCTGATTGGATCGTAAATATCATCCTAATAAAGAAGAAGAATAACCAAATTCGTATCTACATTGACTTCAGGGACCTCAACAAGGTTTGCCTAAAAGATGATTTTCCACTCCCTATATCTGAACTCCTGGTGGAAATACGTCCAACTACGACATGTTCTCCTTCATGGATGGATCGTCTAGATACAATCAAATTAAGATGGCGCCTGAGGATGAAAAGCACACATCATTCAGAACACCCATCAGCATTTTCTGCTACACAGTCATGTCCTTTGGCCTGAAGAATGCTGGCGCCACCTATCAGCGGGCAATGACTCACATATTTGATGATCTAATACATCAGAAGGTCGAGTGCTATGTAAAAGACCTTGTTGTCAAGAGTATGGATCAAAGAAATCACCTAGAAGATCTTAGAATTGTATTTGAGAGAATAAGAAAGTTTGATCTGAAGATGAACCCTCTCAAATGTGCATTCGGGGTCTCCTCCAGTAAATTCTTGGGGTACGTTATTCATCATCGAGGTATAGAGACTGACCCCAACAAAATTAAGGCGATCACGGAGATGCCACCACCAAGGAACCTTCGACAGCTTTGCTCCTTGCAAGGACAACTGGCTTTCATTCAGAGATTTATATCAAATCTATTGAGTATGTGCCATCCATTTTCAAAGCTAATGAAGAAAGATGTTCATTTCAAATGAGATGTAGAATGTTAGGAGGCGTTTGATAGCATCAAGGGATATCTGCTGAATCTGCCCATCCTAGCAGCGCCGATTTCGGGGAAGCCTCTCATACTATACACGGCTGCACTGGAAGAGTCCCTCGAAGCACTATTGGCCCAGAATAATGAAGAAGGAAAAGAAAATGTGCTTTATTACATCATTTGAAGGTTGATTGGAGCAGAAAGTCGTTATTCTCCTATTGAAAAGAATTGTTTGGTGTTGATTTTTGCAGTTCAAAAACTCCGCCATTATATGTTATCCCATAAAATCACTCTGATATCGAAGATCGATCCACTAAAGTTCTTGATGATAAGACCAGTATTGACAGATCGTCTAGCCAGGTGGGCAGTACTATTACTGCAGTTTGATATCATATACATGCCACAAAAGGTAGTGAAAGGTCAAGCATTGGCAGATTTTCTTGCTGCACATCCGATCCCAGCGGATTCCCCACTAAATGATGATTTGCCCGATGAGCAAATAATACAGGTCAAGGAGGATGAAAAGCTACCGTTCTGGGAGATGTATTTTAATGGGGCATCATCTATCAGAACTGTCCGACCTCCAAATTTTGTAAGAGCTCGAGCCGGCATTGGCCTCATTTTCGTAGCACCGGAGGGAGGTATAATGAGAATTTCATTCAGTTTGATTGAACCTCGGACAAATAACGAAGCCGAATACGAAGCTCTATTAGCAGGGTTGGAGATTGCGATCGATGTCAGAATCCAACATCTCCAAATCTTCGGTGATTCTCAGCTCGTGATAAATCAGGTCATCGGTATCTACAAGGTTAGCAAAGTCGAATTGACCCATTACCATCGGCGAGCCCTCGAGCTTCTGAAGCAAATACCAAATGTTGAAATAGCTCGAGTTCCTCAAGGAAAGAATACTAAAGCAGATTGTCTAGCCAAATTAGCCAAAGAAATGGCGAACATGAATGAGGAAAGTCTTATATTCATCGAGGTTTACACTCGTAGGGTCTTGGATCCCGCTCTATTACAATTCTTGAGGGCAGAAGGAATTCTAGATTCAAGTTAGCAAGATGAAATTCTAGTTGAACCTCAACCGCTCCATCAGATTGCCATGGAAAATTTTCCAGAGGAGTATCATGTGGCCAACAGACGTAAAGCTAGTCAAGCTTCAGAATCATTGTGGCATTGTTTAGATATTGAAGTCGAAAATGATTGGAGGCAACCATTCATTGACTATTTCAAGAAAAACAAACTCTCGACTGAAAAGTTTATGGCCGCACAAATTCGAAAAAGGGCGTTGCGATACGCATTTATCAATGATACGTTGTACAGACGAGCCTTTGATCAAATATGGCTAAGGTGCCTAAAGACCAAGGAAGCTGATAAAGTGGTGATAAAAGTCCACGAAGGACTTTGCGGAGCACATCAGTCAGGTCCCAAAATGACCGCTAAAATCAATAGGATGGGTTACTATTGGAGAGCTATGGTCAGAGATTATATTGACCATGCTAAGAGGTGCCACTAGTGTCAAATCCACGATGATGTTATACATCAGCCTTCAAATCCGTTACACCCGACAATAGCATCTTGGCCATTTGAATGTTGGGGCACTGACATAATTGGGCCGATAGACCCGCCTTCATCAGCGAGACATCGATTTATTCTGGCAGCAACAGACTACTTTTCAAAGTGGGCAGAACCAGCTCCATTCAAAGAGGTCACATCCGAACATGTGATAACCTTTTTCACCCACAACATTGTTTACAGATTTGGTGTACCACGTCGCATAATCTCAGACAATGGTACTGCATTTAAAAGTATAAAAATCTACAAGTTTGTTTATCGGCACAAGATTGATTGGCGATACTCATCCATATACAATCCAAGGACAAATGGGTTGGCAGTAGCATTCAACAAGACGCTGGTGAAATTGTTGAAGAAGATCCTTACCAAGAACAAAAGAGAGTGGAATACGAAGATGGCAGAAGCTTTATGGGCCTATCGTACAACTTATAAAACACCAACTAAAGCCACTCCTTATTCATTGGTGTTTGGTGTTGAAGCCGTATTACCATTAGAGATTGAACTACCGTCACACCGGGTAGCAATTCAGAACGATCTTACTCAAGAACAAAATGCCCGCCTCAGAATGGAGGAACTCAACGCACTTGATGAACGCATGTTACAATCCCAACAAAACTTAGAAATCTACCGAGGAAGAATAGCAAATTCCTTTGATCGAATGGTGCGTCCTCGATCATTTCAGGAAGGGAAATTGGTGATGGTGCTGAGAAGACCAATCATCCCACACCAAAAAATTAGTGGCAAATTTGTATCCAACTGGGAAGATCCCTTCGTCATCGAGAAAGTATACCTAGGAGGAGTATATCAGCTGATCGATCTGAACGGTCAGAGGCTTATGCCACCTATCAATGGCCGATATTTAAATAAATATAATGCATGAAAGTTTCATAACTAATATATTTTATGATGAACAAAGTTTTATATACATAGTTATCAGAGCATGCATATATTTATATTTTGAAATTCTCTTCTATAGCAAGAACGTATTTCAAAATCACCCATCAAACTGGGGGCATTTTAAATATTTATTTGGGTCGACATCGCGTTGTATGCCGAGATCCCCAACAACAACAACAACAACAACAACATCAAGCCTTTATCCCACTACGTGGGGTCGGCTACATGAATCCTTTTTCTCCATTGTGTCCTATTAAAAGCCAAATTCTCGTTTAAATCTAATAAAGAAAGGTCATTCCTAATATTTTCTAACCAAGTCTTTTTAGGTCTACCCCTACCTTTCTTAACACAAGTCAAATCTAATACCTCTACTCTCCTAACCGGGTCGTCGGAAGGCCGCCTTTTTATGTGACCGAACCATCTAAGGCGACTCTCTCTAATCTTATCTTCTACTGGAGCTACTCCAACCTTTTCACGTATATGCTCATTTCGTATCCTATCTCTAAGGGTAAAGCCACTCATCCATCTAAGCATCCTCATCTCTGCCACACTTAACTTAGTATTATGCTTCTCTTTTAATGGCCAACATTCGGCACCATAAAGCATTGCAGGCCTCACTACCATCTTATAGAATTTTCCCTTAAGTTTGAGGGGTACATTTCTATCACATAACAAGCCCGATGCATTCCGCCACTTCAACCATCCAACTTGAATTCTGCTGATAATATCCCCATCTATTTCACCATCACTCTGAACAATAGATCCAAGATATCTAAAACGTGTACTCTTATTAATGACTTGATCGCCCAAAGTCACAATCCCCTCACTAGGACTATTACTACTAAAATTACACTCCATATATTCCGTTTTAGATCAACTCAAGCGAAAACCTTTAGACTCTAAGGTTGACCTCCATAATTCAAGTTTACCTTCAACTCCCTCTCTAGTCTTATCAACAAGAAGAATATCATCAGCAAAAAGCATACACCAAGGTACATCATCTTGCAAATGTCTAGTGAGAACATCCAAGACTAAAGCAAAAAGATATGGGCTTAAGGCTGATCCTTGATGTAACCCAACCGAAATAGGAAAATACTTGGTCAAACCACCTTGTGTTTGAACACAAGTAATAGCTCCTGCATACATATCTTTAATGATTTGAATATAAGCATTATTAACTCCTTTCTTTTCAAGAACTCTACATAGCACTTCTCTTAGAACTTTATCATATGCTTTTTCTAAATCAATAAATATCATATGTAGATCCTCCTTATTTCCTCTATATTTTTCCATCAAACCTCTGAATAAATGTATGGCTTCCATAGTCGACCTACCCGGCATAAATCCAAATTGATTTTGAGAAACATTAGTATCACACCACAACCTA